AGTTTTAAGATCCGCAATTACAAAAATGATGATGTATTAAAAAAATGTCATGCAATTTGACAGATATCTAAGGGCCCATGCATTAATTATGTCACGCTAAATCGAGCAAAAAATTACCCCCTCCCCCCCCCCCTATCGTGACGTTTTTCCTATACCTAATGCATTACTTGTCACAAAATCTTAGATCCCCTCCCCCCTTAGAGCGTGACATAATATACACGGCGAATGAGAACGACCCAAATTTGAGTTTAATTCACTCGTAATCGCCAAAAGTGCAGGAACTCAGCGATGAGTAAATTTGCCTCATGTTTTCCCAGGTTTTTCCAGGATTTTCCAGGGAAAAATTCCCGAATTTGAGAAAAGTAAAGATTGGATTCACTCAGTCTATTGGTACTACTTCGAGACTGAATAAAATTTTCGTCAATTTCCTCATTTTCCGGCAGATTTTTTAGGTTTTCCACAGGAAACCATGAGACAAATTTTACTCATCGCTGAGTTCCTGCACTTTTGGCGATTATGAGTGAACTAAACTCAAATTTGGGTCGTTCTCATTCGCCGTGTATGCATCAACCCCAAACATCATTCCCATTTTCGCCCACACGGTAACCAGCGTAAACACATAAATGAGTAAAAAAATACACATTTTTCATATTTATATGCAGCTGTCAAAAAATGTGTATATTTGGAGATCCTAAAATGTGTAAAAAAATACACATTTTAAGTATGCAGTACCAGTCAAAAAATGTGTATTTTTATACTCATTAATGGGTAAAAAAAAACTTCAAACTTTGCTGCATCCTGCTTTGTTTACGCATGCCATTTGCTAAATAGTGAAGAACAGCAGGAAAGTGGAGGAGCTACGGTCCAAACTGGACAGTGCGCAACGATGGACATGCTAGAGGGTAGGTGATTTATACTTTTTTCATAGTTTTTACTTTTAGTTTAGTTTATATACTTCATATACTGATTTTTGTTTTTCTTCCCTTGATTTGTTTTCCGTGCTGAGCACCAATGCTACCGACGCTAGGGAGGAAGCTCCCATACCTGGACCCTACCTATCCCGTCAACTCATGAACCGGGGACCAATGGCTTCACTTCCCTTCCGAAGGAAGGCGTGATCCTCGGCGTGATCAGAGATGTTATGCCTCAGAACATCCCGGCAGCGTCGACTGGGATTGAACCCCTTTCCTGCTGGGGTGAGAGGTAATCACGTGCCGCTACTTATTTTTGTTGATGGCATTTCTTTTTTTAATAAAATATTATTGTATTCGGCAGTCTTTATTTTACCATTGACACAAACAAGAAAATTCTGATGTTAATAAAAAACCTAGTAAAAAACCATAATCTAGAAATGATTACTTTTTACACATTTTGCTGTAAAAACCGTCCTTGAAAAATGTGTAAAAAATACACATCTTTTGACGTTTGCTGGGTTTACACATAAATGTGTAAACGCAGTTTACACATTTTATGAGTAGGCCCCTTTTTTCACGAAATGTGTGAAATTTTACACATTAATGTGTTTACGCTGGTTACCGTGTAGGTCACTCAGAGCACAGATAACAGACGTCCAACTTCCACCAGAAACTTGTGTTTCCTCTATAAATTTTCCACTTTCGCCCAATTTCGTGCTAGTAACTAATACTTGAACAAGTGAAGGCAATGAGAAATTTAGTAAACAATTTGCATACACGATGGTAATAATTAAATTAATAATAAGTGTGTTTGTGAATGAAATAAATGACAGTTTAACAGTAAGACATAAAGAAATAATAATTGGTCGAGAAGGAATATTTAAGTAATTTATTACAGTGTAGAGGCTATCCAGGACACACTTCACAAAACGCATAAGGAAATGGCGTTGCGATCAATCGTTCTGACTAGAGTCGGTGTATAATGAGTCACGCCAAGAGTGAAGCCAAGTCTACCTATTGAACTGTCAAATCGGCTACCTATCGTGCAAAGTAAATAAACATTACGATGCTATGAAAGGTCCACGAAAGGTATTGCAATGAAATATAAAATAAAATTGAAGAAATCATCATAAACACGCAGCGAGCATTAAATGGTAATGGGATACGTTTGGTTTTGATCAGTAATGAGAATTTCTACTAATTTTTGATAAGATAATTTGACAAAATCACTGATATTATGATTCACTACAGCCGTTATTTTTGGTTCTCGCTAGAAGTCATTTAAAGTTGATGTAGAAGTCCTCTGTTGCCAAGTGAAAAGAAAGGGAATCCTTCAGAAACCGTGATGCGAGTTCAACTGTTTTTCTCTTGGCGTGACTCATTATACACCGACTCTAGTTCTGACGATGACGGAAAAACGCAAATGAAAAACGCTAACTCAGACCGGAAGAGTGAAGAGGGATGAGGAGAGAAAAAAATCAGTCTGTAAACTATTGTTGTGGAAGACAGTCGTGTGCACAACTGCTGCTGATTTAATTATTTTGAAGGTGAAATACGACAGTATCGATAAATTTTCGGATGAAAATTACCACTTGGCGCTACCGACACTTAGTGTCTAGTGTAAGTCGAGGTGTAAGTTGTGCAACGCCAGCGCCATCATGTTGTCAAAGAGGGTTTTAAAATCGAGAAGTCGGCGTTGGTGGCGCTTAAATCGAATAGGAATCCTTACACAAGTTTTTACAGAAATTTAGTTCGAGGAACAACGTCTGTTATCTGTGCTCAGAGTAAAGAGGCTGAATTGTTCGCAGTGTTCGGTCTCCCTGCGAGAATAAACACGCGTGCGAATGTGGCAAGCAAAATTCATGCTTGAGATTCTCATGCATATTCACGCACTCACACTCTCAACACCGAAACATCATTTCAAAATTTAAACTCATAAAAACCGCTCAAACGTCAATTGATAGCATGCTTATGCATTATAGAGTGCTGCAAAATTTGAAATATTCGCTCCACAATACTTAAACGATTCCAAATCGGATCCTGACTAACCTCTCAAAATTTGAACCCATTTGGTGAGAAACTGAGATGGCACAAACCATTTGAAGTTTGTATGAGAATTACTATGGTAAACCCAAGATTTTTGTTCATATCTATCTAATAATTCACCATATCGGTCTGCTTCAAAAGTTTTCAATTGTACTTGTAGGAAATTTTCCCAGCTACAACTTTGCTGAAGACATTTTTTTTTGATTAAATGCAAGGATCGAAAGTTATCAATGGTTCAATGCGCTGATGTCTTATGATCATGCTCAATCAACTGCTCAGCAGGCAACAATGGTGTTTCTGGGGCGTTGAATAGGACACAAAAATCATGTCTACTATGTCACACTGCAAAATACAGTGTTGCCTACAGAGCAGCTGCTTGATCATGTCATGAGTTTACTAATCTCTTAAATAATTAATAACTTTTTCCTGTCTCGTTTTACATAGAAACGAACTTTAGGAAAGTTGTAGCTGAAAAATTTTTCTATAAGAATAGTTATCGAACTGTTTCGCAGCTCAATATGGAGAAAGACTGGAAGGCAATGAACAAAAAGTTGAGATTTCCCATAGTAATTTACATGCAAACTTCAAATGGCTTGTGCGAAGTCTGCTTCTAACCAAATGAGTTGAAACTTTGAGAGGCTAATCAGGACCCGATTTGAAACCATTTAAGCACTGTGGAGCGAAAAAGCCAAATTTTGCATCAGTCTATTATGCATGTTGTATTAGTTTTCCAACCCCTGCTGCACAAAGAAGAGTAATAACAATAGGCGAATCCAATAGAAACTAAGCGTGATGAGGGTGGACATTTTCATCGTGAAGCATAGGAAGAGAAAAATATTTTCACCTCTCCTGTTTAATTTATCCACCCCAGGTGCTTGAAATCATCATCCACGTGCAATATTTTGTTTTCTGTATCGGGTTTGCAGTGATCCGGCTGGTGATTCCATATATTTTTGATGAGAAAAATTAAGATTTATAAAATTGTCCCAGCGGTTATGATCTTCCGGATTTTAAATGTGTGGTTATTTCCGATGTAATCAGTTCAGATCTGTAGATAATCTGGAAATAAGACCACTCCCGATAGAAATTTGCAAGATGTGAAATAAAATATGCATTATTTTGAGTTTTGAAAATCGTCATTGTGATGTAAACAAATTAATTGGATGACATTTCCTGTCAAAATTGCAAATTGCACAACTTGCAAATTTTTCATCAAAAATATATGGAAGCACCAGCCGGATCACTGCAAAATCGATACAAAAAAAACAAAATATTCCACGTGGATGATGATTTGAAGCACCTGCGGTGGATAAATTAATCAGGAAAAGTGAAAATATTGTCCTCTTCACGGTGAAAATGTTCACCTCTTTTGAGGGTTCTCATATTCACCGCCAGAGGCTGAAACGTTCGCTTAGTTTCTTTTGGATTCGCCTATTATTCCATACGAATGGGTAAGCGTGACACATACTTTGAGGAGTACCTATTCTTTTTCAGTGCGTTATGAAAGTTGAATATTCCAGCTTCACTAGCGTCTGCTCGGTAGCAGCACCGTATCAAAGTGGTGAGTAAAGGATTCTGCACAAAAATAAAGGACAGATTATACACGGCCGTTGAAAGCAACTCAAATTTGAGTTTGATCACTCAAAATTGCAAAACGTAGGTTTCTCATAGAATGAGTAAAATTTTCCTCAATTTTTCGAATGTGAGAAAAATCGAAAAAGGTTTCTTTTAGTCCATTAGTATACTCCTAGATTGATTAAAATTTTTGTCGATTTTCCTGATATTCGAGCAGTTTTTTGAGGAAAAGCGAGGAAAGTTTTACTCAGTGATTTTGAGTAAAAACCCACATAGTTTTGAGGAATCTCATTGGTTGTGTACCTACAAAGGATTAGCTTGGTGTTGGTGAATCAAATTTAGCCCCCGTGGAGAATAGAAAAACTATGAAAGTGATTTCAAAAAATTTCACTGGGAGGTTTGCTTTTATTTCTGAAGAGGATTTCAATTTTCTGTTGTCACATCATCTACTTTGAAAGCTTTTGGTTAAAAAATGCTAGAGCGCAAAATTTTGGCCTCAGGTAGGTCCTCCAGCAGGACCGTAGTCATGCTACACCTTCCACGGTTACGTTGCTGGCGTTGTTCTTCTTCTTTGGGGATAATGCTTTCGTCGGAGTAAATCTTCCACTGAACTGATGAAATTACATCTTCGATAAATCGAGCCAGCCACACGCTGAGATGCTGATATAACTCGTGATCGTGAATGGTTAGCGGATCTCCGACATAACTGCGGATGATTGTGAATATAACGTTTATCTTGTGTTGTGTCGTGGCAGCTAGCTGCGAGAGGTCGGTAATGCTCGTCTGCAGGAGCAGATGGGGAAGCTTGGTGAAAATTTTATCCGTCAGCCGGTCGAAGGCTTTTCGTTTGAGCATCGCATTGAATCTTTGAATCCTTTGGTCTTGGTATTGCTGGGTGCTGGGTGGTGAACGGCGTCCACTTGGCGGACGCGGAGTTGGGGTGTGAGTGCACTTTTTCAGGTGCACGCTTCCGGTGGGTCCCCTGTTAAAGGTAAACGTTCTATAATTGACGATTTGAGGAAATTTTAAATTTTACTCTACCGAATAAGTTCTTGGTCGTGCAGTTGTTTCTTGAGACTCTTCACATTTCGATCGTTGAGCAGGTTTCCGAATAGTTTCAGGTTTTCCTGCAGGCAGAGCGATTGCGAGCAAGCCAAGGCATCCAGCCGAAGTGAAGAAGTCGAACAGCGGCTTTGGCTTTTCAGCGACGGATGTAGCCTTTGGGACGAATCGATGGTTTGGGGTGGTCGACCGTTGGCTGTGGAATTCTTCAGAACATGAATTGGAGCTTGTGCTCTCTTCTTCTGTGGGTTGTTCGGTTCTGATATCCTCCTCGTTAATATCTTCCAGGGTAGGTGAATTTTTGGGACTCTCCATGATTTATTTGACTTAAAATTTGGATTCTTAACTTAAAATTTTGATTTTTGCTTCTAGCTCTGACGGATTTTCAAATTTAGGTAACGTTTCGTTTATTCGATGGCCTACTTTGTTGGAATCAGGGGGACGATTTCATCCCCGTTTTTTTTTCGATACACCCCCGTCACCGAAAAACTCTCGCTATGAAGCCGGCTCCGCGACGCATGATGCCGGTCTTTGATCCGTTTCGTAGGGGAGTAACGCTACGTCCGGTATACTAGGAATCCGCTTTGTTTGATGTTGTCGCGGAATGACAAAGAGTTTGGCGCGTGTTCGTTTGAGATTAGCCAACGGGTCTGTGGTGGCAGCAACAACAACGACGGACCCGGCTTTCGACGCCTTTCGAACGACGGCGTTCGCGGTCGACGACACAATTTTATGATTAGCACTCTCCTGTTCCTTTTTCATCTTATTCACCCCAGCCAGCTCGCCCCTAGGAAGAACAGATTTATGTGCTCCGATGGGGAAAAATTCCTGATCCTTGAAACGGGCAGTCGCACTTCCAAAGGCCACCTTTATGTTGCGACCTCGCTTCCGGCGCCGGATTGGAATGTCAATGGTGTGCATCCGCAGGGTGGCTGGCTGTCGGTATGGATTCCACGCGGGATTAAATGTGAAGTCGAACCGTGCGACCGGCCGGGTGACGACGGAAGGATGTCGTGCAATTGGCCCCGGCGTCGTCGTTGTCGGTATGCTGGTTGGCAGTTGATAACGACCGGGCGGAGGCCGCGGGAAGGGTTCCGCACAGTACGAATGGCGAATAGATGGCGCAACGGGCGGAGGATAGATTAATTGCTTCGCATGGCGTTGCTGGCGACCTGTCATAGGAACGCATGTTGGGTCCGGGATGTCAAATATGCCTTTGAAGTAACGATTCGGTCCTGGTTCGAGGGGATTGCGCCAGCAAAGAGTTGGTTGGGAGATGGCGAGTCGGAAGCACGCTCGATCGTTGGTTTTGTCGCCTGAAAGTGAATGAGTTCAAGGTTAGGAAATACGTCAAATGCTTGGTGGTTTATTGGTTTGTAGAACAATATCGTAGTGACACCATTCCCTCCATATATAGGTCGGTGGGATTTTTCTGAGGCATAACAATCTCTGGTCCCGTCTTCCTTCGGAAGGGAAGTAGAGCCGTTGGGCCCGGCCCATGTGTGTTTGAATGGGTGCGATATCCTACGCAGGTGTGGAAGCTGACTTCCTGCACATTCGATTGCCATCAATGGATGGATGGATATTAACTTAGTTTGAAATATGAGTTAAACATGATTCCAGTTTTGTGTTTTGCTGTGCAGCTCATTTTTATTAATCGAGCTCGGATTGCATCGTATTTCTCTAAAGCGAACCCCACACGGCAAGAAATATTGTCAATACTTAAAAGTATTGACAATAATATTGATGATGTGAATACAGATATATTGTCAATACCGATGTATTGACGTCAATATAAAATGCATTGACAATACGATTATTGTCAATACAAACAGTCGTGTAGAGTCCACTTAACAATTCCATCATTGGAAACAATCGTGTAATCGACCTTTTCTTTACCGATTTCTTTTGAACTGCGTACTGGGTCAAGAATTGCTAAGGAAAAGTAATTTCTTTTGCATTCCGTGTCCTATCCCGTAGCACGTAAAAACATCATTACTTTTTAGCTGCGTACCAGGCTTAAAGCCACAGACAAACAGACATAACACTCGCAAGTTGTTCATCGAAAAAGCATATAACTATGTGATATAACGGACAATTTAAAGGTATCGTAGTTGGTAGTACCGCCACCTGTGGCGTGCATAGTCAATTCCCTTGCGTTTCACGTTTACACACTGCCACCATCTGTTCAGTGTAGTGCCAACACAAGAGATGGCGGTAATGTTTTAGCGACGATGTTTTACAGTGAGAAATATTCAATGTGTTATGTCTGTTTTTCTGTGTTATAAGTATTAGTGCAAGAAAACCTATGAATTTACCTAAAGTTCTGCACTAATCCTTGTGTATTTGCATGTAAGAATAGGGTTTTATTTATAATTTGCGACCTCGATTGAAATAATTTGTTGTCAAGAGCAACTTAATTTTTTGAAGTTTTTTTGACGTAGGACTACGTCTTTGATTTCTATATGGGGGTACACTTTGTGAAAACCGAAAATGGAACATGTAACAAATTAAGAAAGATTTTGAACCTTAATAACTCAGCTGCCCCTGGTCCAATTTCAATAATTTTATCACCAATCGATCAGAAATATGGCTACGCATCGATAACGATGTTGATTGTGTTTACAAAAAGTGAAATTAAAAAAAAATATCATGTCTTCAGTTTTCTGGTACAATGTTAGACGATGACACGAGCTAACAAAAGAGACAAAGTCCAGCTGCCCTTAGCTGCTCTTATGAGAATCCCACCCACCTAAAATACAGGCAAAATAACATGTTTTTCGAGAATATTTCACTAAAACCACTATAAATTCCACAAATAGTTCAATGACAATTCGCACCTAGTTTGTTTCCGTTGGCATTATTGCAAAAACCAGAGCAAACATATGAAAATATATAAAAAAGTTAACAAATAAGAATGTTGGCTTCATATTTTTTTAATATACCCTATATATCCAAAACTAAACGTTATGGAAGTTTCATGTTTTCTGCAACTTTCCTTCATTTTAATAGATAAAAACTTTGTTGAAAACATCATACGTCTAGGATGCTTTATTCAAAAGTTAGATTCGCGCGCCATCTCTACGACCAAGTTGTGAACTAATTAAGTTATTCAAAAGAAGCGTTTAACTAATACAAACAACTTTAATCAAAACAGTATTCTGATTGGATGCTTCGTTCAAAAGTTATTAATTTTTTCCGAGAAAATCACTTATCTGCCCCAGTGTGAGACGGTCGGTAAATGCTGGGTAATGCGCAATACAGATCCCATTGAGATCACTAGCCTCTTCCCAGCAACTCCTATCCCTACCTCCCCGTGGTACCGGCCGGGAACTGTGAGCAACCTTAGGGAAGATCGGGTAACCAACCCCGGTGGGAACTTTGGTCATAGGCTGACAGGGATTTGCTTCGGCAAGCCTGAGCGTCTGTTCTCCAGGAGGAGCGGCTCACATCAGCGTTCTCCATGTTAGGGGCGGCTGACCTACGTCGGAGTGCCAGTGAAGGACTCTGAGCACAACTGTGCACCCTGGTCCTCCGAAAAGTTAGGGGGTTGGTGTCAGACCCTGCGAGCCAGCCGTAAAAATAGCATTGCAACGGGAAATCAGCAACAGAGGAATACGAACCGAGACCAACGGCAACGACCCCAGCGACGAAATAGGACTTGCGATTGGAAACTCGGCACATGGAACTGGCGATCTCTCCCGAATACTCGCCAATCTACTGAAGGACCGCGGATTCGCCATCGCAGCGCTGCAGGAGGTGTGTTGGACAGGATCCATGGTGCGAACGTTTAGAGGTAATCATACCATCTACCAGAGTTGCGGCAAAACACGCGAGCTGGGCACAGCTTACATCGTGATGGGCGAAATGCAGAAGGGCGTGATCGGTTGGTGGCCGATCTACGAAAGAATGTGCAGGTTGAAGATCAAGGGCCGATTCTTCAACTTTAGCATAATCAACGTGCACAGCCCTCACTCCGGAAGCACTGATGATGACAAGGACGCATTTTAAGCGCAGCTTGTCCGCGAGTACGATCGCTGCCCAAGCCACTACGTCAAGATCATCATAGGAGACCTAAACGCTCAGGTAGGCTAGGAGGAGAAATTCAGACCGACGATAGGAAAGTTCAGCGTCCACCAGCTGACGAACGGGAACGGCCTACGACTCATCGATTTCGCCGCCTCCAACAACATGGCCATACGTAGCACCTTCTTCCAACACAGCCTCCCCTATCGTTACACCTGGAGATCACCCCAGCAGACGGAATCGCAAATCGACCACGTTCTGATTGATGGACGGCACTTCTCCGACATTATCGACGTCAGGACCTATCGTGGGGCTAACATCGACTCTGACCACTACCTGGTGATGGTCAAACTGCGCTCAAAACTTTCCGTCATCAACAATGTACGGTACCGACGCCCGCCACGGTACAACCTAGAGCGACTGAAGCAACCGGATGTCGTCTTAGCATACGCGCAGAATCTCGAGGCAGCGTTGCCAGAGGAGGGCGAGCTTGATGTGCCCCCTCTAGAGGACTGCTGGAGTACAGTAAAATCAGCCATCACCGACGCAGCCGAGAGCACCATCGGGTACGTGGAAAGAAGTCGACGGAATGAATGGTTCGACGAGGAGTGCAGAGCGATTTTGGAGGAGAAGAACGCAGTGCGGGCGGTAATGCTGCAGCATGGAACCCGACAGAACGTGGAACGGTATAAACAGAAGCGGAAATAGCAGACCCGCATCTTTCGGGAGAAAAAAACGCCGCCTGGAAGAAGCGGAGTGCGAGGAAATGGAACTGCTGTGCCGTTCCCAAGAAACACGGAACTTCTACCAGAAGCTCAACGGATCCCGCAACCGCTTCATGCCGCGAGCCGAAATGTGCAAGGATAAGAACGGAAGCCTCTTGACGGACAGACGTGAGGTGATTGAAAGGTGGAAGCAGCACTTCGATGCGCACCTGAATGGCGAGGAGAACGTAGGCACGGGAGACCAGCGCAATGGAGGAAACGACTACGTCAGTACAGCAGAGGACGGAACTGACATAACTCCCACGCTGAGGGAAGTTAAGGATGCCATTCTGCAGCTCAAAAACAACAAAGCAGCTGGTAAGGATGGTATCGCAGCCGAACTCATCAAGATGGGCCTAGAAAAGTTGGCCACCTGCCTGCACCGGATGATAGTCAGGATCTGGGAAACAGAACAGCTACCAGAGGAGTGGAAGGAGGGGGTAATCTGCCCCATTCACAAGAAAGGCGACTATTTGGAATGTGAGAACTTCAGAGTGATCACCATTTTGAATGCCGCCTACAAAGTCACCTAAAATGCCCAAGTTCGTGGGAAGTTATCAAGCCGGCTTAATTGACGGCCGATCGACAACGGACCAGATCTTCACCGTACGGCAAATCCTCCAGTAATGCCGGGAATACCAGGTCCCAACGCATAATTTGTTCATCGACTTTAAGGCAGCATACGACAGAATCGACCGCACAGAGCTATGGAAAATCATGGACGAGAAAGGCTTTCCTGGGAGGCTGATCAGACTGATCAAAGCAACGATGGACGGTGTGCAAAACTGCGTAAGGGTTTCGGGTGAACTATCCAGTTCATTCGAATCTCGCAGGGGACTGCGACAAGGTGACGGACTCTCATGCCTACTCTTCAACATTGCTCTAGAAGGTGTAATGCGACGAGCCGGGCTCAACAGCCGGGGTACGATTTTCACGAAATCCGGTCAATTTGTGTACTTTGCGGACGACATGGACATTATCGCAAGAACATTTGAAAGGGTGGCAGAACTATACACCCGCCTGAAACACGAAGCAGCAAAGGTAGGACTGGTGGTGAGTGCTTCAAAAACAAAGTACATGCTAGCAGGCGGAACCGAACATGACAGGATTCGTCTAGGAAGTAATGTCACGATAGATGGGGATACTTTCGAGGTAGTGAAGGAATTCGTTTACCTTGGATCCTTAATGACGGCTGACAACAATGTGAGTCGTGAAATACGAAGGCGCATCATCAGTGGAAGTCGTGCCTGCTACGGGCTCCAGAAGAAACTACGGTCAAAAAAGATTCACCCCCGCACCAAATGTACCATGTACAGAACGCTAATAAGACCGGTGGTCCTCTATGGACACGAGACATGGACTATGCTCGAGGAGAACCTGCAAGCACTCGGAGTTTTTGAGCGACGTGTGCTAAGGACGATCTTCGGCGGTGTGAGTGGCGGTGAAGAATGAATCACGAGCTCGCTGCACTCTATGGTGAACCCAGCATCCAGTAGGTGGTGAATATTAGAATGTACACATGTTCGTCACTGACTGCTTTGTCATTGATAATTGACATGGTTTGCCTTGACTATGACTGTTAGCTCAAATGAGTGACCAAACCAGTATTATCAATATCACCGTGTATTGTCGAGATTTCGCAGCACTGATGCGAAGTCGATGAATCTGTGACCCAACGGGAACGACGTTCTCTTATGTTAGCAAGAGTTACGGAGCCATCTTCATCAGAACGGTTTTCCCTCAGATAGGATGCAACTGAATCGCTGGTTCGTGATTGTTCACCTTACACAAGCTGCAGAAGGTTATTGTGTCGTTCAAGGACGGTACATGAATGCCGTTTGCCTTTGGGAATTTCCGAAAAACATGCCGTACAGAATTTTGAAGTGCGCATCATTTTGGAGACCTCCTTCACTGAAGGCCTCCCACGCTTCTTCGTCTTATTCTGTAAGCCGCATAGATTTGGCAATGTTACACGAGCAGCTATACATCCGTCACATTGGCAATTCATTCCACTCCTCGTTGAAACACGTTGACCATGTTTATACTGATGCACTTCTATGAGCTGATTTTGATCACTTAGAGAGAAGGAACAACGACTACAATTTTTTTTTCGGATGGTACCAACTTTTTGCATCGATGTCCGATAGATAACGTAGTTTAATTAGGCGAATCGATTTTTCGGTTAGTTTTCGCAAATTAGTCTTCTTTAGACATAAAACACAAACTATGTCCTGATTTTCCTCGTGATTTCTTGGTTTCATTTGAGCACTTTTATAACCAACTACATACCTGTGTATCTAAAAAGCGGACTGGATTTGACACGGTGATTCCGAATGAACTTGTCAAAATTATAAACAAAAACAAACACGTTGAATTGAAACAAAGCAAACCTGTTGTCAACTTGCACACTGAAGTTATTCATTGAAAATAAAAGATAATAACAATAAGGTGATCCAAGAGACGTTTCTCAGTGGAACTGACATCTAGAAATGTAGAGTGTGTGAGTGATCTTGTGTTAAAGGTGCTGAATGTATACATAAACAAAGCAGAAGTTCATATGAGACTAATTTGCCAGTTCTACCATAGAGGTACTTCTACGACTAGAAGGTCCCGAAGAAACTTGCTCAACTTTTTGGCTCAGCTCTGGTACTCTCTTCGGTCCAAAGCTAATCGATTCGCCCCTCGAAACATAGGTAAATCCACTAATTCCTCATTTTATCTGTCAAACTTTCATAGCGTATAAAAAAAACATTGTATAGTACTAGAATTCCGACTAGAATGGGGTATGTTAATCGTTTGCTTGGGACCAATAGACTAGTCAAGTACTGAGCCAATTTAAAATCGTTAGTTTCGTATTGATTGTTGGTTCTACTGTGATCAGTCAAAAGTTCTTGGTAAAGAAAAAAGCCAGCTGATCGCAACTGTCTCGTGGACAGCCTTATTGTAATATTTCAGGAGAAAAAGTCAACCTATCAGGGTGGGGTCGGGTCCCTGTTTCCAATGACTAACCCTCTCTTTCGTAGCTCCATACCTGTCTAATTTAAGTCGATAGATGTGTACACGGATACAAATCTCCTTATACCTTTTGGCAAGTTTTTATTGCTGATTATTCATAAAATGTATAAGTCAACTAATAAGCAGACGCCTTGCAAAAAGTTAATAAAGATCATGTGTCAAATGAAATGTATAAGCGGTCACACATACCTTTTATGCATTCTTATAGGACCTATGTGGTTTGTCTTATGGAAAGTATAAGGCTGATGTTTTGGCAAAAATGTATAAGTGAATCACATGAATAAAATAATTGATTTTCGTTTCGTGTAGATACTGCAAACTACATTCTAAAGCCAAGGATCTTAAATAAAGAAAATAAAATTAAAAAAAAAGTTGCAATAGACCCCCGACCGATTAAGACAAACCACATAGGTCCTATAAGAATGTATAAAAGGTATGTGTGACCGCTTATACATTTCATTTGACACATGATCTTTATTAACTTTTTGCAAGGCGTCTGCTTATTAGTTGACTTATACATTTTATGAATAATCAGCAATAGAATGTAATGCTCTTCCCAAATCGTAATAATCGGAGCCGAATTACTTTCGTTCATCGACACATTTTATTATACCTGCTCATGTATTGCGGCCTTCTGCGCGCGCTTAAGCTAGTGGCAAACTCTCCCTCTCCATGTCTGTCTGACTTTACCTAGTCTGTCTTTTGTTGTCTTAAGGCTAAATTTACATCCTACTCACTACGCTCCTGAATTTCGCTGCGTTCGATTCGCCAGACGGACTACGTCAACGTCCTCTCACTCATACTCCAACGAGACTGCTCGGTACGAAATTCCTAACGCTGCTGTGCTTGAGTACGGATACGCCACACTGCGCCGGACGGACCACGTCGACGTCCTATAGCACACACAACGAAGCTCGAATTGACCTACGGTCGCTCGTCAATGCATTCACTGAACTGCCAACGCCGTCGATGTTGCGCACCGGCCTCGATGAGGCGACTTGGCCCGGAAACCACACACAAAAAAAAGGGATCCTGTATGCGGGAAATGTTGTGAGTTTTGGATCAATTTCATTTGCGGATCAGGTCAACAACCCCTTTTCGCTTCTTTCCGTACGATTGATCGAAATGATGGCGTTCTGGTCAGTCGCCGCACCTGCAGCGCGCTTTGTGGTAGCTATTTTACCGTGCTGCGAGCGATCGAATCGTGCTTATCTCCGTCTTCCAACTCCGTACTTTTGTTTGCCTGATATGAACTGCGAATCTGTCTGCAGCCGACATCGGTGGACCACCAGCCCGTAGCTTTTCGCGTCTGCCGTCGCTTATTTGCGGAATGTCTCGTCCTTGAACTTGCGTAATTTGTTTTGTTCACATGCACTTTGTAAGTTTTAGCAAATCTCCGACGACACGACTTTCCTACGGAGGACGAAGTATTTGTCGTTGCTCTCCGTTCGCAGTCACCAAAGCACTCGTTTTTTCTTTTCTTCGCCTGGGCGGAAGATCCAGTGCCCGTCGTGTGTGTGTGGTAGTGTGCGATCCGCTTTTGCGTTTCTCGCTTCGCATAGCAGGGTTGCGCTCAAGACTGTGCGAGGGGTGATGTAGCGGCAGTGTGTGAGGCGACATCTATATCTCGCTTTTAGTATCTAGACTAGTTGCCTTACTAACTATTTTTTTACTGTTAGCGATAACATTGCATGAAACTGAACTATAACGCTACAATAAATTTGCCAAACGGTATAAGGAGATTTGTATCCGTGTAGTAATAACATTTCCGATCAGAAATGGTTTAGTTTACACAAAATCGAGGAATTAGAATGGAATCACATTGTCATATGATCACAGAACAGAAGGGGAAGTGCAAACAAATCGGTGAATCAAAAAGTGGTTCGTTTTTCTGCTCAACAAGCGATGTGTTGTGGTAGCGTTCCCCACGGGCTTTCTATGCGCACTCACACTATCATAGCATGCTGCCTATCTTAACTGCAGGCAGAAACGACCTTCTACCGCTAGGTGCGCTAGTGTTCACAAATGACAAGTAGAGCCACTTTCTGATCCGAAGTTCTACTTTTGTAGTTATTTGATCATTTTCAATAGAAGTCGTAAGACATTTCTGATGCTGCCAATCGAAAATTCCAGTGGATTTCGACGGAGATTGCTGACGTTCTCGTTGGAGGAGCGTCCACTTAATTTTGGTGGAGGTTTCAGATGCTGTCAACGAATTTTCTAGTGGATTTCGAAGGAGTTTGCTGACGTTTTCAGTGGAGATTTTGAATGCTGCTCTCGGAAGTACTCAATTCTCGATTACATTTTCAGGGACGCATCTGTTTTTGTGAAGAAAGATTCAATTCCTTGAAACTCTGAGCACTCCCACGTGAACTAACACCACCATCAGAAAGAATAATGATCCCCAACAAGATGGTGGTAGTAGCAAAGAAGAATGCTAAGATAAAACAGTCGAAAGAAAAAAACTTTCTATTTCAGTGTCAACTTTCACGATTCAATGAATAATATGTGTTCAACTCGGTAGAGTTGAAATTTTGCGTATTTTTTATCAAAACAATCACACCAAAAGTAAGAGATGTCCCATTTTGTAATTACTCGATTAATAACTAATTAATAGATTATTGTTTGTTCACTGTGCTGTCATTTTTCCACCAATGAGAAGACAGAACATGTTTGAAATGATGGGTGATGATCCTCTGAAGAAGTTATTACTTACATGGCATGATATAATCGAATAAACAACGTGTATTCGAAAAACAATCGGACACCACTAGATGAATGTGAACCGTCATGTTAACATTCACCGTCAATATCAAATATACACGGCGAATGAGAACGACCAAAATTTGAGTTTAGTTCACTCATAATCGCCAAAAGTGCAGGAACTCAGCGATGAGTAAAATTTGTCTCATGTTTTCCCAGGTTTTTCCAGGATTTTCCAGGGAAAAATTCCCAAATTTGAGAAAAGTAAAGATTGGATTTGGTACTACTCCGAGACTGAATAAAATTTTCGTCAATTTCCTCATTTTCCGGAAGATTTTTTAGGTTTTCCACAGGATGAGACAAATTTACTCATTGCTGAGTTCCTGCACTTTTGGCGATTATGAGTGAACTAAACTCAAATTTGGGTCGTTCTCATTCGCCGTATAAGGGCCATCCATAAATAATGAGACAATCCCGAACAGAAAAAAAGCTTTTGCTTCACTTTAAATTATGCACGGCCAATCATTCCAACTCAGCGACTGAGATTAATTGACTCAGAGAATTTTCTTTCCATACGAAATTTACTCAGATTTGGAGTAAACTGCAGTTACTCACAAGCTATGCAGGCCGTGAGTAACTGCAGTTTGCCGTGTGTAAAAACCGCGTGGGGTCAAAATCACGAATCTAAAAAAACCGTTCTGACTGAAGCTTCATGCTATTTATTCCCGGAGCTTGATAGGATAATAAATACCACTACGATATCACATTAAAACTCAACAATACACCTACCGCGTCGTACTTTTGTCCCCACCAAGTGCCGTTTCGGATTATGAGCAAGTCGATCCATTTTCGTTAGAAGCTTCCTGAGCTCCACTTTGCTGTCCGCTGTTTGCCAACATCCGCAGACTACTGTCGGCCTAGGAATCGATGTAAATCGTTCACCTGGAAATGGTTAAAATATGATAAACGGAAGAGCCAAAAAGCGATCCCAAATCAGCAATCTGCCTTCCCTTCCTTCCAGGAGGACTGCGTCGTTTAAGGTTTATGGCACTGATTCGGAACGTGAGCTCTGAAGACCATTATTCAGACGATTGAATCCATTTGCTCTCGCCCGTGGTGGTGGTTATTTAAGTGTAAAGTGAAGGAGGGTTGCTGATTTTCGTTCGTGCATCATTTCGAAATGGGTGATGGTTGGCAAAATGCGCACAAATTACCTGTGAAACATTGATACGGCCCTTTGCTACCTGTTGAATTGCTAGCCATATCGGAGATGTTGTTGGTCAACCGGTACCTGTTTGAAGGGTTAAGAAGGAATGAGTTATTTTGGATTTTATGGAATAATTGCTGTTTGTTTAATTGAGGTATTAGGGAAATTGTAGAGAATAACTTACTTTAACTAACCTACACACTTAAAACAGATTGTCGAGCTCGGCAGAAAAAAAATCTGATCTGACACGTCAATTTATAATTTTGCTGATATTTCGGCTCTCAAGTTATAGCACTTACCAAAAGTAAATACGCACACTAGCGCTGCATAGTGAGACAGTTCAGAACTAAATTATCTAGCATTTGGAAAGTGTTGGTCATCTGAACAACTTTGCCGAAGGCGGTAAACCGCTATATGGCCAGGTTCACAAGTTATCCCGTGCTGGAAATATCACAAACATGTACCACTTTTATTCACCCCTCACCAACCCTCTCCAACGGGGGAGTTTGGTAAAGAGAGATGATCAAACCGATTTGTACCTTCCTAACGTTGTCCTTGCTCGCTTTCTACTCTCTATATGCAATTTTCACACTGCCTTACTCTGACGGAACTATCAATTCTATACTTTCATCTCATCATCTATCGTATACACATTACCACTTTAGTCTGTTATTTGAAATTAGCATCTACCGAAAGCAGACGGATCCTCCATTGTTTCGGACGGATCTGAAATCTGCAAAACTATGCTTCTACCATAGAGGTAACTCTAAGACTAGAAGGTCCCGAAGAAACGTGCTCAACTTTGTGGCTCAGGTCTGGTACTCTCTTCAATTCCAAGCTAATCGATGCACCCTTCGAAACATAGAAATATCCACGAACCCCTCATTTTATCTGTCAAACTTACATAGCGAATCAAAACAAACATAGTATAGTACTGGAATTTATACTACAATGGGATACGTTAATCGATTTACTTGGGACCAATAGGCTAGTCAAGTAGTGAGACAATTTAAAATCGTTAGTTTTGAATTAATTGTTGCTTCTACTACGTTGGATATGCTCTAGAAGGAAAAAGTCGATTTTGTTGAAAAATTCCAAAATTCCCCAAACTGCCCTGAACTGCGTCCTATCGAAAGATACTGGGCAATAATTAAACGTCATCGTAAGAAAGATGGAAGAGAAGCAAGATCTGTTGATCGCTTAAAAAAAATTGGTTTGCAGCGCAACGAAAAGTTAAGAAGAAAGATGTGCAGAATCTAATAGGCGTTCTTCAGAAATGAGAAGTGAAATCGGTCATATATATGTTGATTTTCATTTATATAAAGTAAACTTATGAATTTGTACGAAAATAAATATTTTCCTTTGAGAAACAGGTGTCTACTTTCATAAATGAACAGTCCTTAATCATATCGTCCAGCCATTTTACACAGAGATGGCGCTGTTCTGCTGGTAGGAAGTGATAAAAAATCCCCATATAGAAATTGAGAGAAGTGGGAATAATTCACTTTAGGTTCATATTCACGTCAAAAAAAGTGAACTACAACCGAAACAAATTAGTCAGGTACTTTGTCGTTCAGTTTTTTTCCCACAAATTATTTTTAAACAAGCTACTATAAAATAAAAATGATTTTTCTCCATACCAGTACTACCAGTCCCCAGAGAGCCAAAACATTTTAATTTGAAAGAGAAAACTCGCTCTCACGAGCTCAATTTCTCAACATGCCATGTATTTTGATGACACTCTATTTGTGATTTCAATCTTACAGACTACAAAATAGAGTACCTGACACTGCAAAACATGTCTGGTAGCTAGTAAATATCACGGCAGTCATGTGACAATGAGAAAACAGGTCTTCTCACTATCATGAGACGAAACTACCTATCATTAGCTTTCTTGTCACTTTCCAATGATCAAGCACTCACGAGAATAACTCTTATGCGGTTTTGACATCAACATTTCTAGTTGATTTATACTAACTAGTGGAAACTAACGATTTTAAATTGGCTCACTACTTGACTAGCCTATTGGTCCCAAGTACATCTATAAGCGTACCCCATTCTAGTCGAAATTATAGTACTACACTATGTTTGTTTTGATTCACTATGAAAGTTTGACAGATACAATGAGGGGTTCGTGGATTTTCATATGTTTCGAAGGGTGCATCGATTAGCTTGGAACGGAAGAGAGTACCAGAGCTGAGCCAAAAAGTTGAGCACGTTTTTTTGGGACCTTCTGGTCTTAGAGTTACCTCTATGTTTATGATGAATTTAATGATGAATTTAAGCAAGTAACCGTATGTAATTGGTAGAGTGAATATATTTTTAAGATTTCCTCAGTACAAGTAACTTTAATAGCAATAAATGAGCAAGCAATCACGATCATCACAACACTGTCACGTTCTGTTATGACAAAAAAATCTATGAGATTTTGAAGAAAATCTTTGTCATCGTTTTTTCATCCGATGATAATGACAGAAGTATCTCTGTAAATATCGCGTGAGATCTTTCATTGAAAACAACATTTGCCAGCCCTGGGCTGGTAGCTCTATATATGCAAGTTTAATTAACATCCGTAGCCCGTATTCTGCACAAAATATATTTTCTGCCCCACCACATCGATTGAAAACGGTGGTAGATCCTGTGGGCGCGACTTAGAAAGTATTTTGTGTGCAGAATATGTAAAAAAGGAAGGACCTCGGATGTATTTCAAACTGAACATTGCAACGCACGACTCGCAGCCTGCGAGATCTCGACCAACGAATACGCTTCCTGTCTCTAAAACGAGTGGTTTAAGCGCCACCTTCGAAGAGGACCGCTCGTTAAGGTTTGATTTGCCCGGCCAAAAACACAACCTCAGGGCGGGTTCATGAATGGAAGAGACCGAAATTTAGTTTGTGAGCGATTCAGCAGACTGAAATCCCACGAGGGATTGAGATCCTTACAAACAGAGGCCGCTTCAAACGGTCCTAGGCGAAAGTTGATGCTAACCGTCGTTCTACCGAAACAAAACAGCCCCACTCACATTTATCATCATTGGAGGAACTTTCCCTTTCAGATTTCCTCCACCGATCCTGACACGTGAGTACGGAGACTGTCCAACATGGAGTAAATTCAACTACAAAATACTTCAAAAAAAAAAAAAAAAATAACGCAGAAGAGAACGACCAAAATGTGAAGAATCTAGCCAACAAAAATTAACTAGGGGAATTTACGTATTCTCGGCAACCTAAGCAGCGACCTTCTTTCTAAAGCCTTTTTCTCTAAGGAACGCACACATATGCAGTATTGGTTTGTTTACAATCTTTTGCTGCCAGCTGCTATAACAAGTTCAGTCGAAAGAATTGTCAAAAACTGTTTTGAAACGCTTTTACAAAGCTCCAATCTTCTCTAGTGAGAGCGAGTATTGTCGGCAACCAGTTTTTCTTCGGCAACCGTTCCATTTGAACTGCATGTAAATCTGCTGTTCTATTATCGGCAACTCGAAATCAGCTACAATTTGTAGTACGTGTGTTGCATTTCTAGAAAACCTTGCTAGATTGCTTTTTCTCAGTGGTAAAAACATAGTCAAATTGAAGCTGAAAACATAAAGAATTGTTTGCATGCATTCAGCGAAGTGTTTTCTTAAGAAAATCCAGTGAAAATAGTGTTTCAATTTGTGTTGCCGAAAATAGTCTGTCATGCCGAAGCCGTCATTTCCCCTATTAATTTACGAAAACAACATTTATTTCAAGGCTAAATAACGGAAATCATTATGTGATTTATTCGTGTTCCTAACCTATAGGTCTATTCATGGCACTTGTTCCTTTACCATTTGTTCGTTTGTTTGCTAGCTCTCCCTAATCGTGTGCGGTTTCCTGACCTAGTTCTAGCGATTGCTAGCCTAACTTATTAATTTTCTTCGAGCTCATGTGTTTGTGTCACGGTAATCATTTTCGTCGCTGCTTCATCCGTATCGGCACAGAAGCATCCCTTTGTCGGAGTGAGGTCGGCAAAGTAGCAGCCTATTAAACGGTGGTGGTGTTGCAGATTGCATTCCGGACTGGTATGGTGCGGAAATTCCCAATCGAACCCTCGAATTGGTACTGAACTAGCGCCGATTGCCGGTGGCGCAAATGTCAACGAGGGGATCGTCGAAGACGAATAATGTTCGTGGGTTCACGTGGTTGATATTGGCGGATTTGGCCAGCGCTCTGCCAGAGAACAGTTAAACGGTGTCTCCCTTCCGAATTCTCCCCCGAACCGGGAACCTTGACGTTGAAGCGTGGGGTTTTGAGAGCGCGATTTAATTCCTTGGTTGCGATGTGCCAAGCAAAGCCATCAAGCGATGCGGTGCAAACTCCAATCTGCACAAAACGATCATGCTCAAAAAGCCGTCGAACGGCTGTTCGACACATTTCAGTTACATCTCCACACAAATGACATTATTCACCTTACCTTCCTACACATTTTGCACACACAATAAGTTGACCGCACGTAGCTTTTAACCTTAAGGCTAACGGAAAGGAACGAGAAATGTAACATTAAATTCAGTCTTATAGACTCCTGACATTTTTAACTTCACATAGGGTAGAGCGCTACTTCGTCGTAATCGCCCATTTCCGTTCTATCGATCAGAAAAGATCAATAATATCAATGATTTCACCGTGCACAAATCAATAATAGGTTTGTTCCAATGCGTTAGTTCATTAGCTACAACATAAACCCTGTTAGAGCGCATTGTATGAATATTTACGCTCATTGTTCTCAAAACAAAAGAAGCGCTCCTAGCGAATTCTCTTTTTCTACGTTTATCCGTAGGACGAAGAAAATCTAATGGCGTTTCAATGCGTTAGGACGGAATTGAAACTCGTAGAACGAATTTAGAATCAAGAAGCAGTATTAGAAGTTGAACAATATCTCAACAGTTTGTGACTCTTTATCAAATCCAACGTATGGAAAGGTGGATAAATTTAGAAGTCATCTTTGACAGAAATATTCCATTTTCGGCTAAAATTCGTTCAGAAAAGAGAGGTAAAGCACGGGTTGTTCTTAGTAAGACGGAAATTAGATCAAAAACCCTACCACGAAAAACACACCGCGACACT